ATTTCCACCGGGTTATCAATACCAACGCCTTCATCCCGACAAATGTGCAGGCAGCATTAGTTCACTCCGTCAGCACATTATTCGGCACCATCTGCCTCTCAACACTCCTCGCGCTATTGATCCGCTTACCATTGATAATCCTCCCAAGACGGTTGTCATCGTTTTTAACTCTAGCCGCATACTCGTGCGTTCCCACGCCCATCGCCGCGCTCATCAACCCCCTAGCTCTAACATACAGCGCCATCCACTCATTACCCCTTGGTGTCTCCGCGCACAGCCTCAGTCAAATGGCTCTCCTCACCCCATCAACGGCAACCACATCCTTCAATCCATCCTCATTCTCCAGCTCACGGAACGGACGGAACGACAGCCACGGCAATAGTTCCTCTCTCCTCCCATACCACCTCGCCAGACTTCTGCTCCATGCTACGCGCTTCATAATGTCTCTAGGCCTCGGTTTCGGCGGGTGGGTATCTACCGCTCGCAATCTGCGATTAGCTACTACAGGAACGGGAACAACCACCATTCGAGGTAGTTTATACGCATATGTTGTAGGACTGATTGCGGGTACTATTGGCTGGGGTGTCTTGGGTGCGATGGAAGGCGTGCTGACCGGTGTCGTGGATGCGGCTGTTGTCTGCTGGGCTAGTGAAGTAGGTAGTTCGAGAAGGGAAGCAAGGTACTGTCGGGAGGCTGGATGGTTGTTTGGTGGGGAGAGAAATGGTGGAAGGGGAGGTGAAGGTGAGGGTGATTACGACGTTTGATATATGTTTTCTCTTTTGATTTATGTGAGCGTTTGCATTTATCGACCCGCGAAACGACTTTTCGGATCTTTCTTAATGTTATTTTAGTTTTATTTAAGTTGACTCGGGCGAACACAACATGTAATGCCATTCCATTTTGTTCTGTCAGATGGCGATAGCTATAGAAAACGGGTTATATTTATTATTCATGTATGCATTGCATTCTCACTTACCGCGTCATATTTGGAAGCCTGCATTTGAGTGGAACAGTGTCC